CTCAGGCTTTCTTGGACTTCCACTGACTGTTTGTAAAGCCAGTTTCTATTTCACATTTCTGCTGATAGTTGATTATAGGAACAGAGTTCATTTACCCAGCTCAGTTTTTCTTAGCTGTTGCTAAAGTCATCAACTTCATCTACTATATAACTTTATGACTGTGCTTTTATGTGAGGTAATGGAACTATTTACATTTGTGTTGAAACCCTGATTACAAGCAATCAATATGCAATAAGCTTTAACCATATTTCAACAGGATTCTATTCTCCATCAACACTTCCCTCAGATTTTATTATGCCATGCATATCTATATGACAGACTTCCAACCAACTTCTTCTCTGTTTCCATACCTACTTCTCTGTCCACATATATTCCAGTTATCTTTGCTTTTAAAAAAAAGCCCAATCACAAACATTTTCTGTACGAGTCTTTGTTAGGAGTTAACCAACCCTGTGATCCTTATAATGGTAAACATAAGGCATGTCTAAGGAAAGGTAGGATCCAGAGTACAAAATGGCATCAGACCCAAGAGCAATGGAACTACAAATAAACCAAGCAATAGAAAGAAAAACAAAAGACTAATGCAGAGGTAAGTACAGCCCAGAACTCAATAAGGAAAGCTGTACTGAAAAGAGGTTCAGAGGCACCCACAGAATGAGTTAGAGGAAGCGACTGAGAGCGATGCAAGGCACTTTCAAAGCAAAGGCCTAGGTCTAGCAGAACAGACGGAGAAGGCAGCAACCAGCTACTCTTGCCTGGAAAAATCCTGTGGATGGAGGAGCCTGGTAGGCTGCAGTCCATGGGGTCTCGAAGAGACTGAGCGACTTCACTTTCACTTTTCACTTTCATGCATTGGAGAGGGAAATGGCAACCCACTCCAGTGTTCTTGCCTGGAGAATCCCAGGGACGGGGGAGCCTGGTGGGCTGCCGTCTATGGAGCTGCACAGAGCTGGACACGAAGAGACTTAGTGACTTACCGGCAGCAGTGGAAGCACAACAGAGATCACCGAGGAACTTTTTAGAAATGCAAATGCTCAGCCCCCCAACCAAGCATAGTGAAGCAGAAATGCTACTGTGGGGTCCAACAATTTGCTTTAACCTGCTGGCCAGGAGATCCTGCCATGTGCTGAAGGTTGACGCCCCCAGGCTACAGGTTTTGTTGTTGCTCAGTCACTAAGTCTGTCAGACTCTTTACAGCCTCATGGACTGCATCATGCCAGCCTCCTCTGTCCTTCACTATCTCCCGATCTTTGTTCAAATTAATGTTCACTGAGTTGGTGATGCTGTCTAACCACCTCATCCTCTGCCATACTTTTCCCCTCCTGCCCTCAATCTTTTCCAGCATTAGAGCCTTTTCCAATGAGTGTGCCACAGTATTGGAGCTTCAGTTTCAGCATCAGTCCTTCCAATGAATACTCAGGGTTGATTTCCTTTAGGATTGACTGGTTTGATCTCATTGCAGTCCAAGGGACTCTCAAGAGTCTTCCCCAGAATCTCAGTTTGAAGGCATCAGTTCTTCGCTGCTCACTCTTCTGAGCAACAGCACACATCTGTACAAAAGCTACTGGAAAAAACCATAGCTTTGGCTATACAGACCAGCTAGAGGTGCTGGTTGTCAAACTAAAGACTAGAAAACAAGCCATCCATGCAAAGAGAGATGATCTGAATATTGTTTCAGTCAAGACAAAGAGGTGAAATTCAGTAGTTTGTATCTATGGTGAACAGTGACTGTGGCTGAATTTGGATCTCTGCAACAGGGCGCTGAACAGCCTCCTTCATAAAGGGGTTGAAGTGCCTCTATCACAAATTAAGGCATAGTCTAATGCATTTACATCATATTGCCTAGAAAGCCACAAAAATACTAAGTCCCACTTAGGGATTTTCAGATTTGTCATCTGTTTTCCACCAATATTAGAAGAAGGTTAAACTTTGGAGTATGATTTATTATATTTTACCTCTAGTCACTGAAAAAGTTGGTTTAAAACTCAACATCAGAAAATTAAGATTATGGCATCCGGTCTCATCACTTCATGGCAAGTAGATGGGGAATAAATGGAAACAGTGACAGACTTTATTTTGGGGGGCTCCAAAATCACTGCAGATGGTGACTGCAGCCATGAAAAGACTTAAAAGATGCTTGCTCCTTGGAAGAAAAGTTATGATCAACCTAGACAGCATATTAAAAAGCAGAGACATTACTTTGCCATCAAAGGTCTGTCTAGTCAAAGCTATGGTTTTTCCAGTGGTCATATATGGATATAGGAAGTGGAATATAAAGAAAGTTGAGTGCCGAAGAATTGATGCATTTGAACTGTGGCATTGGAGAAGACTCTTGAGAGTCCCTTGGACTGCAAAGAGATCCAATTAGATGATCCTTAAGGAAATCAGTCCTGAATATCCATTGGAAGGACTGATGCTGAAGCTGAAACGCCAATACTTTGGTCACCTGATGGGAAGAGCTGACTCACTGGAAAAGACCCTGATGATGGAAAAGATTAAAGGCAGGAGGAGAAGGGGACAACAAAGGATGAGATGGTTGAAGGGCATCACTGACTCAATGGACATGAGTTTGAGTAAGCTCCTGGAGTTGGTGGACAGGGAAGCCTAGTGTGCTGCAGTCCACAGGGTTGCAGAATCAGACATGACTGAGCAACTGAACTGATCTCTAGTCATTGATGCATAAGTCAGTAAATGAAATAATAAAGTATCTTGGAAATTTTTATTTCAATTGTTAATCTACAATGATTTGTCTTTGTACTGTTGTATGGGCAATTTTTAAAAAAATATTTCAGGAAAATGTGATATGCATATATCCCAATCCATAGACCACTTAAGAGGATAATTATTCACATTTTGGAAAGGTTTATTTCCTTCACAAAAGAATTCCCTAGAGTTCTTTCAAATGACCAGCATGAAGACAGTTCAAATGTTACTGCAGCAGCTTTGGACAGTGAAGTCTGCTTCCAAACTCAGGAGGTAGGCTGCTTTCCAACCATGTTCATGAAGGCCTGACCTCAGGACTCAGTACTTCCTAGTCTTTATGACAGTAATGGAACAGCTGTTCCAATTTGGGGCATCTGGGTATAACATATTAGAGAAATACACAACAAAGGATGAAACTAGTCATGGCTCTGTATCTACAATGATGTGAATTTATCCAAAACATTTAAGCTCTTCATCTTTTTGAGTCATCCGCTGTAAAGCAATGGTATTGTATATTTAGGTGACTGCTCAGTTAGGTGACTGCTCAGTATTGTTTTCAAGCTAATAGTCAATAATTTAGGAGTATGAAGTGGAAAATACATGTAAATAGTCTCTATAATTATAAAACACAATATAGATGTTATTATCTTTATAATTTATGATATAAAATATTTTAGAAATCCAATTTGCACATAAAATTTCAAGAAGATATTCATTAAAATGCACATTTACATGATGATCAAGACAGGGCAATTCTAAATGTATTGTATCCTGGATTGGATGCATACCCAAAAAAGGACATTAGTGAAAAACTGGTGAAATCCAAATAAAGTATGTAGCTAGTTAATAGTATTTGTACCAATATTAATTTCTCAGTCTTAACAAATGGACCACAGTTATGTAAGATGTTATCATTAGAAGAAACTGAGTGAAGCATATTCAGAAATTGTTTTACCTTTGCAAATTTTCTGTAAATCTAAAAATATCCCAAATAAAGATTTTAAAACAAAATTATTGTTCTATGCCCTGAGGATGTAACTATTCAAACATACATACATACACAATACATATAAACACATGTGCAACACAGGTACAACAGAAGCAAAGGAAATTATAGAAATGAAGCCACCATACTTTTCAGCACTACACTAAAGAAAGAAAGGAGGAGTGTTCTAGTGTTAGAAAAGTTTTCCTGAAATCTGAGAAGAAAGAAACATGAGCCTGAACTAAGAAAAGTAAACATCTGCTTTGCCATTCATCAGGCATAAAGACAGATAAAGCCAGCTGTAAAGTTAACAGAAAATACTATTTCTCCCAAGAACATGCTGTAAAGCATCACCAAAAGAATCCACTTCCAGTAACTGCTACTTTTTTTACACACAAAGAACTCTTTTCTCTAAAATCATAGATTGTAAAAAAAAAATTGCTCTTTGAAATTTTTCATTAAAATGGAAATATCCCATTGTTGGCTAGATGACCTAAGTTATGTGAAACAGCCTCTACTTCCAGAACTTCAGAAAAGAAGTTTGTGGACATATTCCCCGTCTACTTTTACTATGTAGCTTCCAAAAAAAATATTAGTTGAGAGGTTCTTAGACGTATATTTTGGTACTTAATTTGGCAAGTCACTTACATCGATTGTAAATTTGTCCCTCACTCACAAACTATAGGCAACCTGGATGACATATGTCATTCATCGTTCAAGAAAATCACATGATTCTACCAAATTTGTGATAGTGCTTGACATGTAATAGATGTCCAAATTAGATGTTACACGTATAACGTCTTAAAATGGAATTCCTGACTGGAAGTCCGGACCTACTTATTACTAGCCTTTCGGATTTTTTTATTTTTAATAAAATGAAGCGTTTCTTCTTGCCATAAAACTCTTAAGGATTTTGCTATGCAATCCCATTACTTCGCTGGCCACTGGATTCCTGTGTTTGGCTTGCGAAGAGTTTTGGTTCAGCTTAAGTCCGCCAGAACCAAGTCGCTACAGTGCCACTTCAGGCTTCCCTGATGGGTCAGACGGTAAAGACTCTGACAGACACAGACACAGACACACACACTCCCCGTTTCCCACCCCCCACAACACACACACATACATGCACACACACGCACGCAAAAACACCCGCCGCCCCCAACCCGGCGCGCTTCAACTACCTGCGGCAAAGCCCTCCCCCGGGCCACACCCAAACCGGAAGCCAGGACGCCCCTGGGGTTGACGGGAAGGCGCCGCCTGGCTGCTCGCTTCTAAGGCCTGCCCCCTCGTGTGACGTTATTGCCCGCCCCTTGACCTCGCGCTCCCGCCCTCTTCCCTGCCTCCCAGTAGCCAGCTGCGGCTGCGTCTCTGGAGGCGATGGCGGGATCCCAACCGCTTGCCGCGCGTCCGGGGGAAGAGGCGTCTTGCTCCTCCTGGAGGACCAGCCGGTGAGAGAACAAGTGTGGGCGCGAAGTGGGGCGTGGCGGGCAGGACCAGGGGTCCGACTTTCTGCGTCTCCTACTCGGGCGGGCAGGGAGCGCGCGAGAGGCCGCGGGGCAGGGCAGAGCCGGCCTTGGGCGGCGAGGGGAGCGCGCGGGGTAGGTGTGGCGGCGTGGGCTTCGGCCTCAGCGACTCCGTGCTTTGTTGAAGCGGAAATCCTCCACTTGTCGCCCGTTTCATCGCTTTCTCAGTTCTGGTTGGGGTCTGCCATCCTTCTTCCTTCCAGTCACGGGACGTAGGAGGGAGGGAGGGGCTCTCGGTGCGAGCTTCCCTGCCCCCGTGCCGGACACCTTCCCTCCTTTCGATAAAGTGAAAGCTGAGCTCCATGGTCTACGATCCTCCGCTGAGATTCTCCTTTGAAAACTGTTACCAGAGGGAACTCGGTAGTAATGAATCACTGGTAGTCAGAACACCCTGAGGCCTGTTGATTGCCCTTTAAAACAAGAGAGAGAAAAAAGAAAGAAAGAAAAAGAAACGCAGGGGAAAAAACCACGAGTTACCCATTCTTATTTCGCAGTTGGTGTTGAGGCTCACGTCTTTTCCATTCCTGCAGAAATAGAGGGGAGACGTTCGTGTAGTTCCTGTTTGTCATTTCATAATTAATAAAGCGGATAGTTACATTCTGCCCACCACCAGAATACAATGTGCCGAAGATAGAAGTGGTGGATATTTGATTTTGAGCTAATATGAATGTTCACAAGTCTATAGCTTTTTCACCAGCCTTATACTGAAAGGGTGCTTTGATACCATGGTATTGCCTGCCATTGCCACCGCTGCCAGACTTAGGTGGGGGATATTATGTAATACAAATAAAACCTACTCTTATTTAAAGCATTTTCGTTTGCCATTTAAGACCTTATCAGAAGAGTGATATTTGAAAGATTCCAGTAAGGCAGAACTTCAGAAAAGTGGGTGTCAGTCATAATCATTAGGTGACAGAACTAGTTAGAATGTAGCTCTTCTCATTTTTACTTAAGAGCTTTACCATCTTAGACTGTTGCTCTCCATGTAAGGAAGACAGCTATAGAAAGTGTACTAACAGTAAGAAAGTTGTAACAAGACTTTTTCTTGAGTTTTGTATTTTGTTAGAGTGCCAGGGTATATTGTGTATATGTTTTTATTAGTTAGCTGGAAGGTGATATCACTTGATTATCTATCAATGATAAAAGAAATAATAACATTTTTGATCATATGTTTTCAAATTCTTTGCCTATATATCAATATACCAGGCCTAGAAAATTGGATTCTGAAACTGAATTTTGTGTTATCACGTTGTTTTTAGAATCCTGTAACTGATATATAGAGCTTCCCAAAACCTAGAATGAATACACTTTTGCCAAGATGGTATTGATTTTAGCTCAGGCTCAAATTGTCCTGGCGGTTCCCTCTGCCCATGAACCATCTATGTTTCCCAATTATCATTTTTCTTTCTATGCCACACTGTGAAAAAATTGAAATGAGCTGCAGTAATTGATATATCACTCTATCTTGTCACACCAGTATGTTTCAGTTCAGGTCAGTTGCTCAGTCGTGTGTGACTCTTTGCGACCGTATGGACTGCAGCATGCCAGGCTTTCCTGTCCATCACCAACTCCTGGAGCTTGCTCAAACTCATGTCCATCCAGTCGGTGATGCCATCCAACCATCTCATCCTCTGGTCCCTTTCTCCTCCTGCCTTCAATCTTTCCCAGTGTCAGGGTCTTTTCTAATGAGTTGGCTCTTCACATCAGGTGGCCAAAGTATTGGAGCTTTAGCTTCAGCATCAGTCCTTCCAATGAATATTCAGGGTTGATTTCCTTTTGGATTGACTGGTTTGATCTCTTTGCAGTCCAAGAGACTCCCAAGAGACTTTTCCAACATCACAGTTTTTTAATTTTTAAAATTCCTTTAACAGATATTTTTTTTTTAGTGCTTTCTTCATGCCTACTGTGAGAGGTGTGTGTGTGTTCTATCTCCAGCTGAACCTATGGACTATAGCCTGCCAGTCCGTGGGTTTGTCCAGGCAAGAATACTGGAGCAGGTTGCCATTTCCTACTCCCAAGAGATCTTCCAGACTCAGGGGTGGAACCTGTGTCTCCTTCATTGGCAGGTGGATTCTTTACCACTGAGCCACCTTGGAAACTGTGAGAGGTAGTAGACAATATAGTGTGGTTGTAAGGAACTAGACTGATGAGTTTCAGGGCTTTCCATTTACCTGCTCCGTGACCTTGGGCAGGTTATTTAAATTATGTCAGTCTCAGGTTTTTTCCTTTGTTCAGTGGGTATGGTAATAGTGTCTATCTCATTAAGGTGTTGAAAGGGTTAACTGAATTAGTAAACACTTAAAACGTTGTGACACAATGTTTGTTCTTGTTATTAAATGCCAGGTACTATTTTAGGGATTTGAAAAATAGTAGTAAATTCCTAATGGAGCATACATTCTATAGGGGAAGGCAGATGATAAATAGTTAAGGATATGTGATTTGAAAAAAATACAGCAGGGAGCCACCTGAGCAGAAGGAGACCATTTAGTTGGTTGTGTTACCAAACTTGGGTCCACTCACAATGTGCAGCAAAGCCAATCTACTGACACCAGGTTGTAGTCAAGAAAAGTACAGTTTATTGCAGGGTTTAGGAAAGAAAACCGGCAGCTCATGCTCCAAAGACAAAAATTTCCCCGTTGGCTTTCAGGGAAGGGTTTTTAAAGACAGTCTGAGGGAGAGGGTCATAGGGTATGTGATCCATACTCAGTTCTCTGATTGCTTGATGGTGAGATAACAGGGTAATGTTTTGGAACCTCTGTCATCAATCTTCTGGTTCCAACTGATCTGAAGTCTACCTGCTGCTGATCAGTTAACTTCTTTGGCTTGGTGGGGATGTTAGCATCTGCAAGACAACTAAAGTCCTTGACTTTGTTTTATGGCTAAACTATTATTAGTTTGTCTTGCTTGACTGCTGGAGTGGGTAGCTGTTCCCTTCTCCAGAGTATCTTCCCAACCAGGGATCGAACCCAGGTCTCCCTCATTTCACGCGGATCAAACCCAGGTCTCCCTCATTGCAGGCAGATTCTTTACCCTCTGAGCCACCAGAGAAACCCAAGAATACTGGAGTGGGTAGCCTATCCCTTCCCCAGGGGGTGTTCCTGACCCAGGAATCAAGCTGGGGTCTTCTGCATTGCAGGTAGATTCTTTATCAGCTGAGCTACCAGGGAAGCCCTAGATATCATCATTATATGGTAAATTCTGGGTATGTATATTATAGAAGGTTTATGGGCCACTCAGTATTGCTAAAATATAAATCCATCAGAATATATATTATAGCAATGATATTTATAGCAATTACAGCAATGATAAAGTAACACCTGAGAATAAAACAACTGTGGGCTCTAATTTACACACAGAGCAAGCAGTGAGTGAATTTAATTTTGACCGATTTTTAAAATCTAAATAAAGTGGTAAATAATAAAACATATGTCTGGTTTGTAAAATCTATTTTAGTAACTGGTGAATCTGATATCATGTATAGTTGAATTTTACATTATAAAATATGAATATTGAATACCTATACTTGACCTTATGTTTTCTTTTTTCAGTGCAAATACAAAGTTATCCATCATGCCAACAGAATCTGTGGAGATTGATGATGCATTATACAGGTAAGAACCTTATGGAAGCAAATGTTTTTCCCATTCGTTGTTCTCCAGTAATGGAGTATAGTCTATTCGAAGACACCATTAGGCCTTTGCAGAATTTTGTAAAATGTATTTTAAGAGTTCTGCTCAAATAAAAATCAGGATTTCTTTCTTTCTTTTACTGTAGGCTGAAAGCTTGAATAATATTTAAATCTTGGTTGCTTTAGGTTTAGTTGATGTGACTAAGAATGATTTTGCTATCCACTACCAAATATACCTCTTGTTTCTGGACAGGAATACATATTTAGTTTCCTGATACTGCAGGAGTGAGTCTCATGAGAGATAATTCATTTCACTTTAGTTAGTGATATAGTAGCATCTAGAGAATATGTTTACTTCAGTGTAAGCTCATTAACAGCATTGCATGTTTGCACTGCATAGACAGTGGAGAAGTGATTGAAGAACTGTGGTTTGAATGGAATTTAGTGGGACTTTTTTTTACCATATTTTTTCATGAAATCAGGATACCTTTTTCAAAATTAAAGAGAGCTTAAAAACACATAGGGCTTCCCTGGTGGCTCAGACAGTAAAGCGTCTGCCTGCAATGTGGGAGACCTGGGTTCGATACCTGAGTTGGGAAAATCCCCTGGAGTAGGAAATGGCAACCCACTCCAGTACTCTTGCCTGGAAAATTCCATGTATGGAGGAGCCTGGTAGGCTACAGTTCATGGGTTCGCAAAGAGTTGGACACGACACAGCTGAGCAACTTCACTTCACATAAATTGCTTCACATAGATTTAAAAACACATAAATTGCTGTCATTTCTAGTAAATTTGTTAAATACTTTGAGATGTTTGCATGGAAGATAGTATAATCTCCATTTAAAAGTTTTTAGATTTTTCTCTATATGTAATCATGAAAAAATAGATTTTATGTAGGTAGAATTTGGAACAATGGGCTTTTTTTAATGTATTTTGGATTTCTTTTTATATTTTCTTATGTGGGATGCATAGTCAACTTTGAGCAGCTTGGGAGGAGCTGATATGTTGATTTCAAGTCCTATTTAATCCTGTACCCTTGGAAGAAGAGATAAAGACTAATTTGATTTTACTTATGTGAAAACTGTTTTACCATATGATCTCCTAGCTATAATTATATTGGGTTGGCCAAAAGGTTTTTTTTTTTTTTTTTTTTTTTTTGGTAAGGTGGCTGTAGTTGTGCTTAGTTGTCTTTAAGTTCATTCAAAACAGTTTTATTAGGTGGTATTATGACAACTGTCATGACAGTGTGTGTTTTGAAAAAACTTGTCAAAATTGTTAAATTTTTGTATAGCCATTTCAATATTGAACCTGGAAGAAAGCATTTTTGGTGTATTATGCTTTATTAGTTCAAGAAAGGTAAAAATGCAACTGAAATGCAAAAAAAAAAAAATAGATTTGGTACAGTGTATGCAGAAGGTGCTGTGATTGATTGAACATGTCAGAAGTGATTTGGGAAGCTTCATGCTGGAGATTTCTTGTTGGATGATGTTCCACAGTCTGGTAGACTGGATGAAGTTGCTGGCAATCAAATCAAGACATTAATTGAGAACAGTCAACATTATATCACACAGGAGATAGGTGACATACTCAAAATATCCAAATCAAGTGTTAAAAATCATTTGTACCAGCTTGGTTATGTTAATTGCATTGATGTTTGGGTTCCATATAAGTTAAGCGGGAAAAAAAACCTTCTTGATTACATTTCTGCATGCAAATCTGTAATGAAAACTTTCTGTTTTTAAAACAAATTGTGATGAGTGATGAAAAGTAGATACTGTACAGTAATGTGGAATGAAAGAGATTTTGAGGCAAGTGAAATGAACTACCACCAACCACACCAGAGGCCATTCTTCATCCAGAGAAGGTGATGGTGTGTATGTGAGAGTGTTGGAAAGTGAAAGTGCTAGTCATTCAGTTGTGTCTGATTCTGTGACCCCATGGACTGCAGCCCACCAGGCTCCTCTGTCCATGGGATTTCCCAGGCAAGAATACTGGAGTGGGTAGCCATGCCCTTCTCCAGGGGATCCTCCCAACGCAGGGATCGAACCTGGGTCTCCTGCATTGTGGGCAGATTCACCAGGGAAGCCCTGGGGTTGGAAGGGAGTCCTCTATTATAAGGTCCTTCTGGAAAATGAAGCAGCTCCAACAAGTACTGTTTGTTCAGTTCCCTGGAGACTAAAAGGCACCTGGCACAGTTTTTTGCTCAAAAAGATAAAAAGTTTTGGAACATAGAATTATGAAGTTGCCTGAAAAATGGCAGAAGGTAGTGGAACAAAACAGTGAACACATTGTTCAATAAAGTTCCTTCAGTCTTTTAAGTGAAAATGAAAAGTATATCTTTTATAGAAGTGGGAGGTGGGAGGGGGGTTCAGGATGGGGAACACATGTAAATCCATAGCTGATTCATGTCAATGTATGGCAAAAACCACTACAATATTGTACAGTAATTAGCCTCCAACTAATAAAAATAATTGGGGAAAAAATAAAAAATAAAAATTAACTAAAAGCAAAAATGTAAGAATAAATTTTAAAAAAATAAATAAAAGCCCATTTGCAATCACAGGAAAAAAAAAATAGAAGGGACCTTTTGCCCAACCCAATATATATATTTAAGTAGAAAATATTTTTAGGGCAGTTTCAATACCTACTTTAACAAAGTGTCTTGCTAAATATATTTCACTTTTTTCTTATTACTCAATCTTAAATCACCTCATAGTTTCTCATCGACTAAACCTGCAATTATTCTCAGAATCGAAAGGTTTTTGGGGGGCTGGAGGAGCACTTCTGACAGCATTCTGAGCCACATCTCTATTTAGTTTTCTATCTTTATTACCAGCACATTGTCATATAAGTTAGACAGACGAGCCAGTTCTATAGATTTGCCCATTTCTTTTTCTCTAAAGATATGCCTGAGCCTGCTGATCCAGTGATTTATCTAAAGATAATGAATCCCAGTTTAGTACTCAAACCTTGGTTTTCTAACTTTGCTTTTACTAAAGGATCCTCCACTGGAGGTATGTATCTATGTGTTATTCACTCAGTAATTTCCGACTCTGTGACACCATGGACTGTAGCCTGCCAGGCTCCTCTGTCTGTGTTCTCCAGGCAAGAATACTGGATTAGGTTGCCATTCCCTTTTTCAGGGTATCTTCCTGACCCAGGGCCAGGTCTTCCATATCGCAGGCAGGTTCTTTACCATCTGAGACACCAGAGAACACCATTGGAAGAAATTAAAACTAATTCAGATAATGATAAAATTACTTTGCTGCACTTTGCTGTCCCTCTCACTCTCTTTTTTTTAATGTTTCTTGCATATAGGTTCCATGTAGAGATCACTGTACGAAGAAGGGGTGAATATGAGAGCAGCATCAGGGCATTCTTAGGTTCTGGATTAGTACAATCATAGTAATATCAATACTGTGCATATTTTAGTGGAATACTAGAGCAAGTTCCTCTGGCTTTCGAGATAACAGTCTTCTTGGATTTACTTGTATTCTTCAGATTTCTCAGACTTCTCTTAGTCTGCTCTTGCTTTTATGTAAAGCCAGGTTCCAACTTTAGGACTTTTCTCTCAGTTCATTCTTTGGTTCATGTCCATTTCCACGATTTTAGCTATTTCTCTAAGCTAGTGATGCTTGAGTCTCTTTCTTCAGCTTTCTTTTTCCAAGTTCAGTACCTTCTTTTTAAAATGCATACAAGATTCTTTAAATGTAAATCAGGCAGATGTTCAGCAGATAGCTCCTTTTTAAAAAAGAAAAAAAAAGGGCATATATTTGATTTACAGTGTTGTGTTAGAATATCTGCTTTTTGAGAAACACTGTGTAGAGAGATGTGAGCAAGGTCTTTGACTTTAGAAGAGAATGTTCACATCCAATCCTGACATTTATATGAACCAAAACTAGTTATTTAATCTTTCTATTTCTCATACTTCTCATGTGTAAATGAGAAGAATGATACCTCTTAAAAATAATATCTTAGCCTTAAAGATTTCATGAAAAAACTATTATTAGAAAATAATTTTCAGCGTGAAATATCACTGGAACGCTTTTCCTTTTCTCTTCCCATTCCCAAGCTTAGATAAACGGTGTGTCAGACCTATTCAGTAACCTAAGCTAGAAACATTGGCGTCATCCTAGATCTTTCCTTATTTATCATCTTTCAAATTCAATTCTTTAAATCCTTTCAGTTCCTTTTAAGCAACTCTTAATTCCATTTTTTTTCATTTTCTCTCCCTGCTTTGGAATTTCTCAGTTGAACTATTTTCTCATATGCGATCTCTTTAGAACTATTCTTGTTTCTAATCCATCTTTCATAAGTTGTTCAAAGTTGTATTTTTGGCACTTATCTCACAGTCCGTGGCTTCTCAGCTTAAAATCCTTAAATGATTCCCTGTAATCTACACTAATGAAGCTAAATAGTATAATATACATTTAAGCCCTTTTTGGATATACTGTAGCAGTGGCAAGAGTTTGAACTTTGGTGTTAGATCTGAATTTGAATCATTCTCCATTGTTTGTAAGTGTATGATATTAGGTTACTTAACCTTTTAAGTGTCATCATTTATTTATTCATTTTTTTATCCACTCATTTATTCAACACATTTAATAAGAAAATGTGCACAAATTGAAAATTAATCATGAAGAATGGTACCTGTGAGTTCACTAACTTTTAATTTGCCATTAGTTATGATCCTGTCTTTCTTTTTAGCTTCCATGTCACTTCTCACCCCTTTATCCTCTGACATCCTATTGTTTATCTTTGTCAAAATTTATATTATATTGTCAAGATCTAGGATTTGATTTTGCCCCACTTATAAGCTAAAAGCTAGCCTGTTATTGTTTAGTGGATGCTAACAGAAAATGTGAAACATCTGGGTCAGAGACAAAGTGTTTCGCTACTAATAATACAGCAGAGAGCATGGGCATCATCATGATATTGGTTCTCCTTGCTCCCAAGTCCCACCTCATATCTCAGAGTTAAATA